AGAGAGAGAGACAGAGACAGAGACAATAAGAAAGTGAGAAATCACCCTCTGGGTGGGGGGAATGGTCATTCTGTAATCCCTTTCCTTCCATTCTCCCCCTGGGATCTTGGGCACACATACACATGTGCCAGACATGAGTTTCAAGCCACTGGGTTCAAGACAGTCAGCCGTGTGGAGTCCAGCAACGTCACCACGACGCCATCTGCTGGGCCTCTAGACTCTACCTCTTAATTATTGTACTACCTTACATTGTTCCTTTATCATGAGGTAAGCTCGCCCGCCTCTAAGTTATGCTATGAATAATTAAGTCTGTCAAAAACTATGTTAAAAGTTAGGTCAGAAAGCAGTAACCTAAAGAAGAGTTTATTAAATTTCGCAGTCAAATATGTTCCAATAATCTGGCTACTGCCATAGGATAGCTAAGGCAGTGAAATGTTTGAAAATGTGAAAATAAACCTTTAAAAATTAAGTAAACGTTCATTCAGTCAGGTCACAATCTTCAGATCCCTCCCTGCCCTCACTTCCGGATAGTTTGGGAAACCAGAGACTAGACGGGATTACTGCTCTTTCTCCTAAGCATCATATATTCATGACTTAAAAAATAGCTTCTATCATGAGGTAAATAATATTTAGAACCAGTACATGATGTGAAGAAAGTGAAACAAGACTGTGATCGGAACTTTAAAGAAAAAGAGAAATGCAAGAAAGGAACATCTTCATTTTCGGTTTCTGGTCATCTCAGACTTCCCTGTCCTCGAAAAGCTGTGCTTCCTGGCTTGTCTGTTGGTTTCACTACTGGAGGTACTTCAGCATTTCTAAACAAAAATGCATCTACCAAAACCCAGTAGGGCTCCAGGTTTTGCTAGATGTAACACTTTTTAAATTGGGTGGTGGAAGGGAGCTTTAAGAAGAAAGCCCCACAAATTTAAACTACAAAATTAGGCGTAGGTCTTGAACAGGCTGGGGCAGGGGAGGGGTGTTAGCACTAAGCTAGACCTAAAACAGGCAAGGAATGCTTTTCCAGCAAGGAAGCAGAAAATGTATGTGTGTCACTAGGCTAAAGTAGCCTTTATTGATCGTAGACACACAATTCCCAACACATGCTTAACGGATATCAGCTGCCTTTGAAATGTTGTCTAGCATGTCAGTCTTAATGCAAGTTCAAGTATTAAGTTCTCTTATTTTCCCAATACCAAAGTTCTTATTTCTCTTCTGCATGGGTAGTGTTTCCTCCTTCATGTAGAATAAAATTACGTTCACCAAACATTCATTATCTTACATAAAATGCATAGCTACTATGCCTCCAAGTTTAAATTACTGGACTGTCAGGAAAGTCATGACGGATTCTTACACAGAAAACAACTCATGACTCTCCCGACAACCTAATAGCTGTCCTCTTAGCCTGGGGTGCTAAATACTAGTTAAAGGTACTTCTCTCAAGGGGGTTATCTTTCTTTCAATTGTTCTACGAATTGTTCTATTAATTAATCAGTGGTCCTAAATATCCCCTTTTAATATATACAAACACTCTGGGATCTTGGGCACACATACACATGCGCCAGGCATGTAGTGCAGAGTAGCTGATCTGGACCCTGCCCTCGGATCAGCACACTCCCTGGAATTCACGTCTAAACTGAGTGAGTCCATACTGGTGATTTTTTTTGTCCTGATGGTGTTGACTTTGAACAAACAGCAATGCAGGAGGTGGCCCACCCTATTCTGTCCCTGCATGATCTCAAGACATTTGAGCTGAGGTTGGGGAAGAGAGCAGGTTGGGTAACACCAACTGGCCTAGGATTTCAAGCCTCCATCAGGAACGGGCTGAGGAGCCCGGCATGAGCCTCAGAGCTCACTGGGTCTGAAGTTTTCTATTTATCACTTGAGATGTTTGAACTGGATGTGGCAAAATATGGTGACTCTATTAAGCAAATTCTTTGTCTCATTAAGAGAGCCTCCAAAAAACATTAGCTAAGAACTAAAATTAGGGAGAACTGTAAAAGCTTTCTAGATCCTAAGCTTCAACCACATTCCTGGAGCTTAAGCAGAATCAGGCCCAGGGTTACTGTGGATCATATTGCTAGGGTAACTTCAGAAGGAATTACAAAACGGCCTCTCCTTGAATGTGGCCTTTCACAAGGACGCTACATCTATGATCTTTAAAAAGGGGGTGCATTGCATTTATTTAACACAGGAAATACAGCACTGCACTTTAAGAGGTCCGTTCTGATTCGCGATGGAGAAGTAGTTTTTACTGAAAACTCTGGGCCAATGTGATAGGTTCTTAGATGTTATTCAGCTGCGTTTTATAAAAAGGAAGGCCAGACTCACCTGGACGTCAGCGTGGACAGAGCCGGGGACCTGATACCTCAGTTCGTGAGCCGTTGTTTGAGACTTAGGAAGCAGGAAAGGATAAGAAAGAGACCGATACTTTGATTTCATAATCTAAAATAAAGGGAAACAGATGCAAAAGATTCAATGAAAAAAGGCCATTTATCTCTATTTTGTTGTTATAAAAGAAATTCACAGTCATTTGCAAAAGAAATAGAAAAATGTTAATAGATATTCCCAAGTTTGGGATTGTGATCAGAACTTTAAAGAAAAAGAGAAATGCAACGGAGGAACATTTTTTTTGTTCATTATTTTTTGCTCATTATTTCCCATATTTCCTTCTTCTTATGTTTTGCAGAGAAAGATATATGTATATATGTGTGTGTATATATGTAAAATAAATATAATCTATGGTTATGATTTAGTCTATTCTCTGTCTTAATGAGAAATACCAGACTGGGAAATTTACAAAGGTTTATTCAGATGACAGTTTTAGACGTCTTAAGTCAAAGGGCTGCATCTGATCAGGGCCTTTCTGCTGGTGGCAAGGTGTTTCGGAGTCCTGTGGCGGCTCAGGGATCACACGGTAAGGCAGTGAGAGGCTGTCTCTGTGCCCATGCATCTGTGTTCTAGGCTTACTCCCTCTCCTTCTAAATCTGCTAGGATTAAGTCTGGGGTCTCACCCTGATGAGCTTGCCGAAATCTCGGTCCCCTTCCAAAGTCTCTATTTCTTAATCCTGTAGGTGGATTATGTCTACTCTCTTCATGCCATCACAACCCAACTTCCACATCGGAGCTCTGGGGCTACACACTCAGAACAAAAAGCTATATAAAGATATCATTTCAAAGATGGTATTATTGCCTCATAAACTAATATTTTATTGACTATGTTGTAGGTATCTTGTCGCAGCAATACGCTGTATCATTAGTTTTTAATAATCTCATGGTACCATGGTATGAAAGAATAATAATCTGTTTAATAAATCCCTTTTAATGAGCACCCCAGTTGTCTCTAGTTTCGCCTGGACCATTAGAAGCACGTCACGATAAATTCCTTATTACATGACTTCT